CACAGCTTTTCAAGAACAGGATTTTCCCATTCTTGAAACGATGCAAGACAAGCCCAGAGAAGATCTACCTTAAGAAAGTTATATCCGGGTCTATCCCTGCAGTGAAGCTAATACAATAATCTCCTTTCTCTTTTGTTTTGTTTTTTCCCTCAAACTGAAGGGTGGGAATTATGCAACCATTCAGATGTTTGACTGCAGCTCCCATCAGCAATAATCAGCACAACCAGTGGTGTAAAGTGCTGGAGATTTCAGTCCAGCAACATCTCAAAGGCCATACCATTTCCACAACTATCAAGGTGACTCGTAATTGAAACATGTAGTGCTTCATTTTGTCTTTAAACTCAGGAACACAAGTTTTCTAATGTATTTTTCTTTGAAACAGGGAAATGTGATGACAGTCACTTGATGACAGTTTTATGTCCTCCAGTTCTCCCCATTCCATCTGCCAGTCATGTGCCTTGTAAACACCAATGGAAGTAAGAAGTGAACTGTGGTGAAACATTATGATCAGGATCCACATTTTCACAGGCAATCGTGAGGGTTGCCGAGGGCTAACTTTGACTCTGTCTCTTAAAACACATCATAATTCTTGGCAGAGTAGAGATGGATCACCTGCAGTGATGATTATAACAGTGAAGTTTGATCTTCAACTGATGTGAGCAGAAGTTAATGGAGATATGCCAGTTTACCTCAGCCTTGTCCTATAAAGTGCACATGAACAAAAACATCATAGAATGTACAGGCTGAAATAATAATAATAATAATAATAATAATAATAATAATAATAATAATAAAGTATTTATATCCCGCTCCTCTGCAGAGCAATACAAGGAGAGCAAGAACTAAAAAACTAAATAATCTGGGACATTGTCCAGTTTTTAAACTAGGATTGAGGAAATTCTGGTGCTACAGTTGTTATTGAATGACAACTCTCATTAGTCTTTGCCTGTCTAGCCAGTAGCAGGGAGTTACGGGAGCTGAGGTTCGGCAACAGCTAGACATCCACATATTCTCAACCTATAACTAAGAAAATATTTAAATAATAATTTATACCACTTAGTTGCAGGGCATCTGACAGATTAATCTCCCCATATGAGCCTGCCTGGGTCCAGTATCTTTACATCTGTTGAGGATGGAAGATCTGTTGAAGATGCAACCGTCTTGATGGCTGCCCTTGGCTCTGGAGCTCTCTTCCTAGCAAAGCGACAATGGGCACTTCCTTGTTGTCCTTCCTTTAGTAGGCAGACACTTTTTGATCCAAACAGGTTTTTGAGAAGTGAATATTTTTAAAGAAAGTTTTTTTAAAAGGGAGTGTTTTGCTGGTTTTAACTGGTTTTAATCACTTTGCATTATCTTTAAATTATTTTTTTTAATTTATTTTAGATGTGGATGATTGTTTAATTCTATTTTGATGTTGATATTTTGTATATTTTAACTATCCTATATTTGTTTTAATTCATAAGGCAGCTTTAGTCCAGGTTGTGTGGAAAAGGCAGGGTATAAATAAAGTTGAGAAGGAGGAGGAGGATTTTCCTCCAAACAGCATAGGGTGTGAATATATATCTGCATTTACAAAGTGGAAATGTATGGCAATTGGGACATACTGCCTTCTCCATATGGTGATGAGCATTAGCTTAGATGCCTTTGGAAGGGGGATACACAGATTCATGCAGTATTGATCTATCAGTAGCTACTAGTCAGGATAGCTCTGTGCTTCCTCTAGGATCAGTGGCAGCATAGAAGCATAGTGTCAGAAAGGTTTTGGAGATCACCTCACTTCCTGTACAATGTGGAATTGCAATGCAGAATGCACATTACCTGTTCCCATATAAATAGCTATCTTATTTAAATATCTACATGGTTTGGGTCCATGGTTTACCTACAGGAGCACCTCTTCCTTTATAATCCACCCCATATGCTCAGATCCTCTGGTGGATGGTTACTCCAGTCAGGACTAGGTTGGCAACTGTTAGCCAGAGGACTTACTTTTCAGCCACCCTAGACTGTGAAATGATCTGCCAGAAAAGATTTGACAGCTGAATACACTGTCCAAATTTAAAACAGTGTTGAAGACCAGTCTCTTCCATCAAACTTATCCAGATTATTTTTAAATTAAGAATTTTAAATGACAATTTGTAAATATGGATTGTTTTAACATGTGTATGTCTTATTTGTCCTTTTAAAATGTTGCATGTTTTAATTAATGTGTTTTAACTGATGTTGTGCATTGTTTATTTGTTGATGTTCCCCACCTCAGTGCATGGTGAGAGGCAGGTAAGAAATAAATATGTTGTTGTTGTTGTATCTGCAGTGAAGGAGAACCACCACCACTTGTCATGGCAGACTACTTCACTGCTCAGCATTTCTCAAATGTTAGAATATTTCTCTCCTACTGATAAACCTAAATCTGTTTCCTGGAAGTCCCCTTATCCATTGGCTCAAGTGCTGGCCTACACTGAAACATAAAACAAGCCTGCTCCATCTTCTGTAA